CAGTCGTATAGACTATAGCGTTCTAGTTCTCGGGATATTGATTCAGACTATCAAGTATTAATCTAGTGTGAAATAACACCAGTCGTATAGACTATAGCGTTCTAGTTCTTGGGATATTGATTCAGACTATAAAGTATTAATATAGTGTGAAATAACACCAGTCGTATAGACTGTAGCGTTCTAGTTCTCGGGATATTGATTCAGACTATCAAGTATTAATCTAGTGTGAAATAACACCAGTCGTATAGACTATAGCGTTCTAGTTCTTGGGATATTGATTCAGACTATAAAGTATTAATATAGTGTGAAATAACACCAGTCGTATAGACTGTAGCGTTCTAGTTCTCGGGATATTGATTCAGACTATAAAGTATTCAAGTATTAATCTAGTGTGAAATTTATTTTGTTAATAACAACACAAGGCGCTGTTCCTTGCCTCAAATTTAGGGATTTTCCCCACTTTGGGGTAGAGTATAATCGTCTGAAGACTGTAAAATAAAAATAATATCAACCGCCCGATTTTGAGAGATTTAAATAACGTAGTCAAAAGTCAATGTATGAAAACTATGGACTTTTTTACTGCCATCATAAAAGTGTATATTTACCCTTTATTTCTTCAAACTATAAAATTATGAAAATACACTTAGTATTTTTGGTAGGCATACGATAGAAAGCTTAATAAAATTATAGCACTGTTAGAACGGTAGTACAAGTGGTATAGTACTATTATATTTAGTAAATATATTTACATGGCTTTCGTGGTACCGTAATCACAAAAGTAAATAATATCCGTACATTAAAAAATATAAAACATTGTGTAACGATTGTTCTACTCAACAAATATACTTCTTGTACATATCTATGTGTGTGTATAATAGAGATCACGCAGACTATTCTACAAGGAGATTGTTAAAAATACCATTTAAAGTTAACACAACTTTATGGGCTTAAAACACCGATGTATACAGATACTTATTTCACCAGCTTCAATAAACAACGACTGTTATGGTGTGAACAAAATCAGATGAATTGTAATTATCATGAATTATATTTAAGCTGGCTGAACTTCGTGAGATATTATTGGGATTACGACCGAAAATATCAGTAATATCAACTGATGAAACAATGCATTCTAAACTTTATAAGTAAGGATGTAAGAAAAGTGAATTTAATTAGCTATACTTGTTATCAGGTTGATTTTTAGTTTCGCTCTAAATATGGCTATTATTGGTGGTTAATATTAATTTTATTTACATTTTAGTTCTTGCTGAAATAATTATTTTATGATTTCACCTAATATAAGCGAATTCCAAAATATATCAAGTGTGTTCATGGTTTTCACTTGGAACAGTGCTTTATGCGCTACTAATGAAGCAACATGTTTCCTGTTCAATAAGTTTATTATACAGATCAATGAGATTTCGTTTTGTACAAACTGCTAACTGATTGGGGAAGATTCCTTTGATATATTAAAACACATGATCAAGTGCATGAGACGTATATAGAATAGAAAATCTACCTTTGGTACTGCAGGAGGTCTCTCTCCTGTAAAAGGTATTTCCTCTGTATCGGAACCAGAATTGAAGTCCGTCAGTGCAACACTAGAGCCTCCTGGCCTGTGTCTGGGTTGGTGGGTTCCATGGTTGGGAGGTGACAGAAGAGAGGCTAAAGCCCGCAGACCACTGATAACATGAGGAGGAAGGTTGGAATCGGCCAGCATGTCAGTCACTATTCCATGGGCCTCAGCCAGCAGGGCCACATCCAAAGTAGAAGTGGAACTCTAAGAATGTTAATAGCAGAGTAAAAACCAGTAACTGTTTGTGCTACACAACTAGACCACTACTGTGTCTGTCACTTTCAAACTGGCCTGATGAGCCCTGGTATTAGCCGAAAGGCCTCGTCGGCACTAGATGTGGTACATGTAAAACTGTTAGTTGAACGATATTTGATTTTCAGAATTTGTTGTGCTATTTTGAAGAAATCCAACTGTTAATTGAACGATATTTGATTTTCAGAATTTGTTGTGCTCTTATGGAGAAATCCAACTGTTAATTGAACGATATTTGATTTTCAGAATTTGTTGTGCTCTTTTGGAGAAATCCAACTGTTAATTGAACGATATTTATTTTCAGAATTTGTTGTTATACTTAAACTTTCATTCGGTAAGTGAATTAATTTACTTTTTGAATATTTTATTTAAGATATAGAAAATTTAAACCACAACTTTTACGACTTCTATAAATCTTACATTTAGACTTTATTTAACTGGGGAGCAGTCAAATGGTAATGCTAAAGCGCTATTAATTTTTCAAATATGAATCAAATGGGAAAATTGAAAATCGTGTCTTACATATACATATATGTAAAGGAGGTTGAACAGACTAATGGAATCATCTCACTTAATTCCAAGTTTTGGTGTCTCTATTAAGGGAAAATTTAACTAATTTAAATGTGTATCAAATTATTCTCTATCAGGAAAAAGTTCTAAAGATACCAAACTAAGGTGAACATCTCGCTAAACTCTCACGAACAACTAAAGCTGTGAATGTATCCTGAGGAACAGTATCAAAAGTAATGCCAGCATATCCACCTCGGACAAACACAGTGATCGAAAAACTAAGTTCACAGATCGTTACAGACAAGCATTATTAACACGAATAGTGAAACAAAAAGCAAAAGGCTACATGCCTCAAAAGTGTGCTGACAATTGAACGTTAACCTTACAACAACCAATCTCTGTCCCAATATCTCGTACAGTATGGGTTGAAATGGTAGATCTGTTATCCAGAGACTAATAACACCAGAAATGCAAAAGTTCGAGTTAAATGTTCTCAAGAGCATAAAAATTGGACCGAGATTAATGGATGAATGTGGTTTGGTCAGATGAATCTTTATAATTTTCCCCATCGACTGTATGTGTTCGTGTGGTGAAAACTAAAAGGAGTTTCCAGTCCTTAATGTCTTAATGCATCAGTTAAGCATGATGGATGCTCTGCGCTATTATGAGCAGCTCTTTTTCCCCCATCGACTGTATGTGTTTGTGTGGTGAAAACTAAAGGGAGCTTTCAATCCTTAATGTATTAGTGCCATCAGGTAAGCATGATGGATGCTCTGTGATGTTATGAGCAGCTCTTTATCATTTTCCCCATCGACTGTATTGTGTGGTGAAAACTAAAAGAAGCTTTCAATCCTTAATGTCTTGTACCATTAGCTAAGCATGATGGATTCTGTGATGTTATGAGCAGCTCTTTTTTCCCCCCATCGACTGTATGTGTTTGTGTGGTGAAAACTAAAGGGAGCTTTCAATCCTTAATGTCTTAGTGCCATCAGGTAAGCAAGATGGATGCTCTGTGATGTTATGAGTAGTTTTAAAGAGTCTATGATCTGACTGAGAGGTAAAGTGATAGTAAAATATTAGCTAAACCTTATTGCAAACCAGGTTCACTCTATAATGAAAACTTTATTCTCGAATAGATTAGGTCTGTTTCCAGTAGACAGTTCATTAATTTATGGTGTTGAAATAGTTAAAGACTGGTTTAAAGAACACATGGAATAGTTTTGGTACCTAAGTTGGTCCCAAAATTTAACTGTTATAAAGCCTCAATGGTCAGTTCTTGAAACTGAGTTTCGAAGCAGATTTCCAGTTTGAATATCACTTCAACAGTTAGAAGTTTCCGTCAACGAATGGTCAAAATATCATTGTCTGATTCACAACGCCTTGTTTCATCACCTCTGCATCGTATTCATGACTTGTTGTGTACTCATGAAGAGCCAGTTCCATGTTAAAAATGAAACAGATATTTCCTTACTTTTTTACAACTAATCTACAGTTCTAAACCTCTGGCTTAAAACCTGTAAGGGAATAGATAACTAAGGAAACTGCAAGAAATAAACGAATAAAAACATTTATTATCCAATATGACATTTTTTGGCTCATATAAAACCACTATTCTAAGACCAAAAAAATAACACTTCTCATTAGACTTGAAATATGCTTGTTGGCGAATTAAAATAGCATACTTATAAGTTACCTGACAAAACAGGACAAAGTTCAAAAATGACAGGAGATTGGATTGATAGTAAAAAGGCGTTTTCAAGTCATAATTATTGGAAGTAAGGCAAAAAAAAAGATAAAAATAACTAGTAAATCAATCACTTCTGCATGACAGAGAAATATAAAGGCTTCACGCACTACATGCACACAGAAACTGTAATTAAACTTTCAATAATCGATTTTTTTTACCTTAAGTAACATGTAGCTATGACGTTTACTGGTTATCCAAGAACTGAAAAATACACGCAGAAATGTGTAATCTATCCCCAGTAACAAAAGTTATAAATAATAAGTGTGTAAAAAAAAAACAACAATAACAAATTAATGCAGAGAAATAAATAAATAAATGTAATAAAGTTGTAAGTGACATTTATTAATTTTAAAAACTTATGAGTGAAGTAAATAAAAATATGTTACAATATGTCAGTTACAGGATTTCTCCTTAAGAGCACAACAAATTCTGAAAATCAAATATCGTTCAACTAACAGTTGGGTTTCTCCATAAGAGCACAACAAATTCTGTAAATCAAATATCGTTCAACTAGCAGTTGAATTTCTCCATAAGAGCACAACAAATTCTGTAAATCAAATATTGTTCAACTAACAGTTGGGTTTCTCCATAAGAGCACAACAAATTCTGTAAATCAAATATCGTTCAACTAGCAGTTGAATTTCTCCATAAGAGCACAACAAATTCTGTAAATCAAATATCGTTCAACTAGCAGTTGAATTTCTCCATAAGA